CTTCCTCACATATGTGTACAGCGCAGAGGCTCGTCTTCGCTATCCTCAGGGTTACTCATCTGAGTCCTGGATCTCGGCCACAGTTTTATGAGGCGATGCACTATCAGCGGTCCATACATTTCCCCCAGGAGGCAAGACGCAGGTTCCTGGATAAGCGATGAGCTTTGAGCCAAATCAGCGGCAGAGTTAAGTAGAACTAATAAAGCTGTCTGATATTAAAGTGGTTACTTACTCCGTATTTCAAGCTGTGAATAATTACCAGCTGGAGCTCATCTGGACTATTTTGGTGAGGGTGGTGTCGATCAGAGGGGAAGCTACAGGACTGAATTACGTGCACAGAAACAGAACATCAAACACAGAATTGGCTTCCTCCTTAAAATATTTCCGTGTTCACAGAGTGTGGCCACTGCGGGTGCTGCCAGAGTCGTGCCAAATGAACACCAATACTAGCAGCGTTAAAAATAGCCCGGCTGTCATCTTAGCTTTCCTCCCATCATTTTGAATTTGCCATGGTGGGTGCACCCAGGGGTGACTGTCGGTTTAGTTTTGCGCACTCAGCTCAGCGCTGAAACACACACATTCCACACAAACACAGGCGTTTACAGTGAAAACTCGTCTCTGAGGTGCAAACCGCCTCCATGAAATCTGACAGAGGTCTACTGTCATATTGTATCATAGTCTTGTTTGCACAATGAGAATCTTTACTATGTAAAAACTTGGAAACACTTCTGTAACTCACTGACTTATTATTATCATTTTTATCTACATCTTTGGTTTTTGTATAAATTGAAGGAACATTTTGAAACAACTGACAAATAAACTTTGCGCTCTCTTATCACTTTTAAATTGCCTATACATCATCTTAACGACCCCTAATGTCCACTTCCTCACTGACTTGGAGAAAACCTCTCAGTCTGACCAGTCAGAGGAGCAAAACAAATAAACCCTCCAGTCGAGAGGCCTGATAGTGAGCCGGCTTCATTACCGCTGACATGGTGCCTGTGTGCTTTGATAACCTCCCCCACTGTTGGCTATTACCTGGTTATGTGCTGCTTCACAGCCCTGTGGGACATCTTCAGAGGTACAAAGAGAGTGGGACAAAACACTTTTGCTGCCGCCACCTTTATGAGATTGCATGTCCTCATAGTGAGTTGCTTCCAGACACTTAGCCTTTTGTGTCAGTCACACTTTTGAGTCTCACTCACCTTTGATGTGCACAATGGCAAGGAAACAGCACAGTGACTGGAAATACTGTAAAACGCACCATTTTAAACAGATAATAAGATCGTTTTTAAGGTGACACATCTGTGGGAGGTTGAGAGAGATGTTGTCGCAGGGACGGCTTTGGCTGCTGAACCAGTTACAGCTTTTAGAACTCACTTTGTAGTCTGTTTTGCAAAACTCTAAAACGCTTCGCCCACTGGGGTTTCACTTTTCTGAATCTGATTGCCTGCATTTCAACATAATAGATATGTATTGTAACTGCGCAAAGTGGAGTCGACTAAAGCGGGGAGAGGAGTAACTCGACTGTAATGAGGCCGGGATTATTTTGAGACGACAACTAAAGAACATGGTGCATCACCGCAGTTAAGTAGCAGCAATCCTGGCAGCCACCGAAAGTCAACTGTACAATTTCAAAGTGTCATTTCAAAGGTTTGTTTTTGTGAGAAACAGCGTGGAGGCAGATTTGGGGGTTGTTTCATGAGGGGCAAATCAAAAGAATTATTTCTGATTATACATTGGTTAATGATAATTCCCACATCTTCCTCTGTGACTATAATTAGGCATGGTAAACAGGATGACAATAGAGGAGAAGGCTGATCCCAGGCCATCAATTACTTGTCCTCCTCCTTAAGCTCTGGATGAGCCGCCCTGTGGATGAGGGCTAATTATTGTTATTAGAGACCTGCCCATTATTTCATCCATCTGCTGCTGCACATTTAAGTCCATTCTCAGAGCAGAAAAGCAGCCACCACCACCAAAAATCTAAACTTAAACTGCAATTTAGAGTATATTCCAGTGAAACATGCGCCGTGCCATCACTGTACGCTAATAATTCACCCTGAAACCCACAGATGAGTGCACACAGATGAAACATGCTCCAATTAAATGTGACATACAGTGTGTGGTGTCAAACTGTCTGGCTTCTCTTCTCTGTAAGAGAGAAACCTGGCCTTCAAAGTGAACAAATTCACACATTCTTCATACTGGCTGGTCGATGTGGCTGACAGCTCAGAATGTTGACAGTCCCATGATGCAATTGGGTACAGGTAAGAGTAAACGCCCGTACCACAAAATGGCAGCAGAGGAGTTTTTTTTTTTTTTCTCCAGCCAAATGGCTGCTTGCACTGGTGTGATAGATGAAAGGGAGCTCTGAGCTTTTAATGTGCACCGTGTTACTGTACTGCAGGTTGTTTAGGCTCATATGGAGAGACCGAGCTGTCAAGCAGAAAGCAAGTGGACCCAGGTGTATGGTAATTGCAGCAGAAAGAGTCCAGGCATGAGGGAAGAGCGTAGCGGGGAACTTGAAATGAAACCACTGAAGACTGTCAAAGGGGAGGCAGGAGAGAGAAAGGCTGCAGCTTATTGTGTGATCCTACATTTGTGTGCATGTGTGTGACGGCTGATCAAAACCTCGACAGGAGCCAGTCGACGACAACAAAAACAATGTCATTCGTTTCCATTCTGTAGTGTGTAGCTGATCAATGTTAGACTGATGGACAAATGGAGACCTCAACATTATAATGCTGTATTAGTATTTTGATCTGAGTATTAGCTAATATATCTTAAGGGTTAACCAAGACAAAGCTGAAGGTTACAAAGTAAAAAGGCACACTGAACCATATCATCTGTCTGATCCTATCATCATGTGACTTAATTTCATTAGGTTGAATTGTAGCGTTACAATAAGTAGATTTTAAAAACACACGGTGGAGATTTTGATATTGTCATCATGCTATCAAGATACCAAAATAGAAAAAGAAAAAATAAAGAAAAATCTTAAAAGATGAGGAGGATGAATAGATGGTGAAGTTGGTGACAGATTCAGCTCCAAAATTTCAAATTCTTTCAGAACTGTGATCGAGCCTGTTTAGGATTAACACAGCTCTAAATGGGGCTGTGATGTAGCGTAATTTAGGACCATCATCTGTTTTTCCACATTCTTCTTAGTCCATTAAGTCACCAAAAGCAGTGAAAAAGATCTAACTGGAGGTTTCGAGGATCCAAATGTAGCCTCTTTAAACTGCTAGCTTTTTCTGACAACCAGAGTAATTTCCATTTAACAGTTATATAAAATTCTTAAAAGCAGAAAAAAAAAAAAAAATCCCATCCAATATCTTGAAATTAGTGTTTTATCATCAAGAGAAAAAAAAAACTCTTTTAGAGATTATTGCAGCCTGACAATAATTACAGTCATTGTAAAACTCGTTTTATAAGCTCTTTAAATGTCAAGATTTTTATCCATCAAACATTATGATCAGGAAAGTGACTGACTGGACCTAAATTGATTCTGCAGCATGGTAATGAGCTCATACATAAAGAACCATCTTTATGCAACAGATGCTGACAGCAGGGAGTCAGCCTGGAACTAACTAAAGAGGCAGAAAACCGAAGCTGGTTTTTCTAGAATCTATTTTGTGTGCATTTGAAGAAATTTATTAGAAAAGGTTAATTAAAAAAATAAAAAAAAATAAAGAAAAACACTCCCCACTGTTAGTTTTGAAAAGTTGTACATGTATTATGGTTTTTGACTTTGTTGAAAAATAGTAAATGCGCTTCATAGGAAATGGGACCAGCTTTATCGATCACACTTCTGACAGAGCATTAACATTTAACTCACACGACTGATCATCTGTTTCTGTTGTATTTGCTGGCTTCCCCTCTGGACAGCACGAAACATGACCATCACTCGCTGACATTACGAATTATAAAGAATTACTAAAGGCTGCTCTTAATTTTTTTCTTGTAAATGGTCAAAGTTTGTTTCTTTTTCTTCAAGGCTTCTTTGGTCGTGTGTAACAGATCCTACACCAGCATCCTCTGATGACACCACGCTGCCTAGTTTTTTGTTTTTTTCTTGTTGCTCCCAAGTAGTTAATGGACTCAAGTCTAATTAGCTTTACAAATCTTTGGATGCATGTACCTTGGAGAATTGGTTAAAGATTGTTATTCTTAAAGCATTTTTCCAATCACCCCTTACTTTTAATCCTTAAAACTTTTACACAGTTCTGTAAGTCTGGGTTGAAAGTTGTGATGTGCACACAGCTGCCTCTGCTACGCTCGTCTGCCCACATCGCTGACTTGCCCCCAAAGGAAATATCCAGCTTTGCAGAATGAGATTCTTTTGTTTCCACTTCATAGGAAGACATTAAAACTTAACTCTGAGTGGAAACCAACAACGAGTCCCTAACTGCATCCCCGCAGTGGATTTCATCGTGTCCTGGGACCGTGTTAGAGATCAATCATGCTCCTTTTAGTCCCTAAATGAAACATCTGTCACTGTTTGGCTGATGGAAACAGACTGACTCTGTGCTGTTTGTGTGTGTTCCACTCATGAACCTGTGGGTGTAGGACTTCCACCGCTCTGCTTCGGTTACCATGACATCAGATCCACTATTCAGACTTGACTGTATTGTGATAAATGTCATCTATTGATGTGAATCCTGCATGAGTGCAGTGTTGGAGCTACACCACAGCAGGGATACGTTTCATGCTTTGTGGTCTGGTCTCAACATATTGTGTTCATTAGTGCACATTACAATCACGACTGTGTGCTTTTTGACACGACATGTACGGTTTCAGATGACTTTTGGAGGAAAAAACACAGACAAACTGAACTCGCGCTCAATAACAAATGTAATCATGACCAGTTGTACGTATGGGTGGTTGTTAAGGAGGGACAAACTAGCAGTGTTGCAGGAGTCTGTATAATTACAGACAAAGGCTCTGTCATAGGAAAATCAGTGGGTACACGTGCACACCCTCCCAGTTCTCCTCACCTGACAAGCCTCCCACATCCATTTTCTTCAGGTTCTTGGCCTCCAGGATGACCACGGTCAGCTTGCCGGCGGTGGGAACGTACCGCAGAGAGAAGCAGATATCGCCCAGCTTCTCTTGCTGTAGACAGAGACAGAGACATTGCAGAGGTGAGAACGATTTCAACCGCGACTACTAAATCCAAATTTACTGCACTGATGCTTGAAGCAGATGCTCAGAGATGAAAAATTGTTCAGCCAAGCAAATGTGAAACTCTGGTTCGCCGTCTCAACACGGCAGACAGGGTTATGTCTTTTTCGTTCTGCTCTGTGCAGGCAGAAAGAATAGCTTCTAATGTTTAAGGCTGCAAGTGACTGTGCGACTGTACAGAAAGTCGACTGGTATTAAAGGTTAATGTACAGGACACCGACACCAGGTCATAAAGCTGTTTACAGTAATTACACTTTCCAGGATGCATGTACAGTAAGAACAGATACATTTACAGAAAGACGCTTCTGTCATTACTTTTAAGTGCCTACATTTGCATGTATAATGCTTTCTAATGCAGAAGAGGCCCAGACAGGCTGGCATGCAGGATTCAGTAATCAGTTTAAAACTACAACACAAATCATGGGCAGAAACATTTCCATGAATGATTTGGAATATAATAAAGAAACAAAGAACACCGGTGAAGTGTTCAGGCATCGGCTTGATTTGATTTTCTGATCAGTCCGACAAAATCCTGCTGGAGAGATGATTTAAGGATTGCTTCTAAATCCCTACATGGTCTGGCTTCACTCCACCTTCAGAACTATTAACCCCTTATCCTGCACTTTATCCCCTCAGATCAGAAAATCAATTACGGTTAAAAGTTCCACTATCCAGGCTTAAAACAAAGAGTACTTTTACTGTTTTCGCCCCGACACTGTGAAACAGGCTCACCTTACAGTCAGAACAGCTCAGGTAGTTTCTTAGTTTAAACATCTTTTGAATACACAACTGTACAGGTTGGCATTTGTATAATATTTTATGATATCTTTTCCAATGTTTTATTGTCATTTTTTAATGTGTAACTGTCTTTTTTTTGCTAGCAGTGTCAATATTTTTTTGTCTTTATGAATGTTTTACTGTCTTTTTCCAACGTTTTACTGTCTTTTTTAATGTTTTACATCCTCTTTTATGTTTTTTTTTTGTCTTTTTAAAAACTTGTATTGCCTCTTCCAATATTTAACTTTCATATTTAATGTTAATCAAACTTTGTTTTGTGTTACGATTGCCTTTTTTAATGTTTAACCTTCTTTTTTAATGCTTTATTTTCAAAAATGTTTTACTGTTACTCATTTTTGTCAAGGACCTTGTAACTTCAGTTTTTAAAGGTTCTGTAGAAATGAACTTCTTCTCTGATATGCAGGATATCAGTCGATCAGGAGGTCTACTGTGCTGTTAGATTAAGAAGAGTGTCTTCAATGGACAGTGTCTATAAAAAGTGTTTTTATTTATAGCACCACAACTGTGCAGAACATATGGACACGACAGCAAAAATGAACAAGATGGATGGACACCAATTTTTTGAGACAAATTTGCAAGCACAAATATTTTCTAATGTATTGTATATTTGAAACAGTCCAGTGATGCAGACAAGCTGTCGACTATGTTAGTCATCGTGTGAGCCAGCTGTCTGCTGTCCTGTTGTATAAATGGACAAAAATGAGGACAAAAACACTGCTCTATTATTTAACTGTGAAATTTGTCCTGATTAGGAAACTGAGCAGGTTTATAATGTAATTTGTTTCACGGTAACTATGAAAGGACCTTTTCCAAATTTAAATAGATGAAAAAAAAAACAAAACAGCATCTCTGAGTCACAGCTTCAGACTAACAGCCACTCAGCTGCACATGAGTCCTCGTATGTTTTCAGTCTTCTGCTATGGACTTGTTCTCTTGTTTTGGTTTGAATGTTTCTAATATTGGCCTCCTCTTGTTTGTCGCTCCTCATGTTACTGGAAAAGCTTGCAATCACTTCACGGGTTCACACAAATCACCATCACAACACATTAACACACACTGAACCATTCATATTCTTGCCACATACTTTTAAATACAAGGAGCAGACACAGCCAGTATCTCCCTCTGGGGTCATACCTGCTTTAAGCTTATTTTAAAAAGAGTTTACAAATCAAAGGCAAGCTGGATCTGAAAATTGACCTTCAGGTTATTTATAGGGTGTTTCATCAAGTGTTTTATACTGTTAAGCCCCCCCACTCATTTCATTTGTCATCCACTATCCGGGCTTGTAGCTGCTTTAAAACACCAAAGACTAAATAGTCTTTGATGGCGAGAGGCGGGTTTTAATCAACGCGAATGCACGCTCCCCCGTAGGCTCGCGAAAGAAGGAGCGACAGTTAATTATGCCTGTCAAGAGCAGTGACCAGGCTCTTTAATGCTCCACTTTGAACTGTAAAAGGCCAACTGCTGCTTCTCCCACTTAAAGGGCATTTTCAGAACTTTGCTACTTCATATTTGACCTTAAAAGTAAAAGGGATTGTGTATAGGCGGAGAGTATTAAATCTTTTTATTGAGCTTATTTCTAAAAGACACCTGACAGAGTGGCTCTGTCTTTGGACTGATAGGCTGACACGTCACTGAGTTTTCTGGCTTCTTACCTCCTAAAATTCATTTACATCTACGTATGACCTATAGGTTGGACATACTTGTGGGTCTATTTATTTTCCAAGTAAAGAGAAAAGCTATAAAGGCAACCTAAGTGGTTAACATTTTCTGGCAGGGAACGATTGTTTTTGAGGTGCACTGATGGCTACGGACTTTAGGGAGCTGACTTTGATCTGCAATGTCCCTGTTTCATGCCTGACTGGACCTTTGTTGCATGTTGCCTACCATCTGTGTTTCAGTTGATGTTCTGAAGAGGCATTAAACCCAAAATCAAGCATACATGTTTATTTTTTTAATTTCTGTGTTCATTTTTAGGGATAGGCTGCAAGGTGGCGCAGTTGGTTAGCACTGTTACCTCACAGCAAGAAGGTTGCCAGTTCGCGTCCCGGTGGGGGCACCGGAATCTTTCTGCATGAGTTTGCATGTTCTCCCCGTGCAGCGTGGGTTCTCTCCGGGTTCTCCGACTTCCTCCCACACAATCCAAAAACATGTTGAGGTTAATTGGTGATTCTAAATTGTCCGTAGGTGTGAATGTGAGTGTGCTTGGTTGTCTGTCTCTAAGTGTAGCCCTGTGATAGACTGGTGACCTGTCCAGGTGAACCTGCCTTCACCCTAAGTCAGCTGGGATAGAATCCAGCCCCCTACAACCCTAGTGAAGATTAAGCGGTGTATAGATAATGGATGGATTTTTAGGGATGTCCCAACCTGATGGTGTAGACTGGGATTCAGGATGAGCACAACAATTTAAAAGTGATCAATACGGGCATCACGCTAAGCCAGATCCTTTGTTTGCAATTGTTGCCACACAGCTGTCAGAAACAGAAAGTACAAGGTGCAGCAGAATGCTTGGTTCAAAATCCACTAGTTCAGGTTGCATCACAGAAGTCTCTGTCTTGGTGCCCACTGCAAGATAAACTCCCAAAATGCTTTCTGCTTGTCAACACAAAACTGCTTATAGCCTGAGTGCCCCTTAGCCTACAGTACTAAACAGTTAAAGGCTGCACCTGGTGGAGCAACCAGGTACTACAGTTAATTAACAATACATGTTTTGTCATGTATGTAGAGAAAGCAAGTTTTCATCATCTTCTGGAGCTTTAGGAACCATGGTACACCCCACCCACTACATTTCAGACATTGCCCTGTCAGACCTTTACAACAAATTCTTGGCCACCTAAAAAACATTAAGTAACAGCTTGGATGCAGAACTGCCTTTTTTTTTCTTAATTCACTGCAGAGGTATGCAGTGTCAACACATACAGTAGCTATTAATTTGATTTTTAGTAACTTTAATGTACTTTAAGTGTGTGTTATTTAGGAAAATGGTGCCGGATTGGGTATCCGCACGCCAAATATTAAATGACTTGCATTGGATTGGGGGCAAAAACAACCAACCAAACAAACAAACAAATAAAAAAAAACCTTGATCAGGACACTCCAATGCATTATTAATCCTCTTATGAACTGTTAAATGTATCTTGTGGCTGCTTGCAGGGCTCTCAGACCATAGCTTGGCAACCACGGCTCTACAGGTATATGGAACACAGGTGTTAACTATTGTTATAGTAGTTTACACTGTTTCTCTGTGTACTGAATTTGACTGTACAGTAATATTTATTTCTTACGTTGTAGTCTATAATATATGTCTTGTGCTATCATTAGGTCATGAACCAGTTTTGAGATTTTAATTTAAAACATAATTATACTTAGTTGCGCTTCCCCTTTTAGCTTTGTAATTAAAAAATACAATGATTAGGATTACTTTGTATTAATGCTTTAATTGTTTTGTAAGATTTAATCGATTTATTTGCTTTTAATTAGTTTTAATGGTTTAATTTGTCTGTTTTTGTGCAGTTGCTGTCCAGTGTCGAAATGTGAATTATTAATAAACGGACTTCCAGGAATGTTAGTCGTGATGCCGTCATCTCGGTAAACAGCTCAGGTCAGAGAGACATCATTTCACTCATTAAAACATTCTGGTAATAAACATCACTAAATAACTTTTCATGAGTCAGAAGGTGGAGAGTTGCAGGTTCCTCGGTCGGCCTCTGTCACAGCTGCTCTCCACTGAGCTCTGCGGGGCGTCGCTCTGGTGTCTCAAACCTTGCGTAAAATTGTCAGGTGCAGCAGTGCAACCGAACGCTAAGAAAGTATAGACATGCCCTTCAACTCAAACAACACCGGCAACCATTCTACACTGTTATAATTAACCTTTAAATCAACTCACCGCAATGCTAAAAATAAGGTTGGCAACATGTGCTATATGCCATGACATTTACCATGAAAATTGAATCTCCTGAACTGGTGCCTGGAAAGTCACAGTTCTATTAATTGAAGGGGAAGTGTGGACATATGATTAAGTGACATTTTCAGGAAAGATGGATTACATCAGCCACAGCATCACGTTTGTGGCTCCAGCACAAATGACTTGCAGAACACAGTAAAAAAAAAAAAAAAAAAAATCATATTGTTAATGGAAAAAATACTCTTATTATCGAAACAGCAGCTACTACATGTACAAATCTCCGGTTTGGAATGAGACAGGTGTCATAAAATAATTTCAAACCTTGTCGTTATTCATCTTGTGAGGAGAAATTGTACTTTCACCTGTATGTCTGCCTACACAAAGTCTTACCTCCTCCTTCTCAGCGCTCTGCAGATCCCGCCACTCCTCTGTTACGTGGCTGAAGTCCACCTTGTTCATGGGCACCTTGATGTCACCGATGGCATCATGTTTGGAGAAACGGTCGAAATCGTACACCGTCATTACCAGCGTCTTCCCACCAAGCTCTACATAGGGGACCTGAACAAGAAGGAGTTTCATTAGAGGAGAAAAAGCATGTACAGCTCATCCAATGATACTTGCTTTTAATCAGTTCAGACAAAGGCAGATGTGCATAAAGCCAAAAGGAGGTGGGTCGGAGTTAAACTCATCTCAGCTTTGAAGTGTCGCGATTGAGCCAAGTACCAATAGGACTGACGTTTACAGTTTACTGATATGTGACGCCTTCACTTTGAGACTGATTTTCCCAAAATGTTTAACACAAAGAAACAAAACATACACAACATTGGTTCCCACCATTTCTAAAACTATTATCTTAACTATTATCATTGCTATCTTAAACCTAAATTGTACAATTGCACTCATGTAAGGACAAAACTTGAAAATAAGATGTTGGTGTTGGTATTTCTGAAATAATGGCATTTTTATTTTAAAAAAAAAAATCTTATCTTATTGAAAGTTTGTTGTGTGGGTTGGCTGTGGAGATTATACTGTGTCCTTTTCTGTGTATTTTCATGTACCCTGTGTACTTTGTGTTGTACAGATATATCATTTGTTATGTTCACTAACAACTGACTGTCAGTTAGAACTTAATGAGCAACGAGTGAATTGTTTTATATATGGATGGGACCTCTCAGCAGCTTTAAATCTGAAAATGAAGCCAAAATGAACGATTAAAAAGACAAAGTGAACATTAAACTCTCTCTAAGAACCTCCTGTTTGCAACTCATTTATTCATACTTTTGAAAAAAAAACCCAAAACAAAACACAATTTAGAACAGGCCACCAGCTTATTAGGAACACTTGTTCAGTGTAATCCCATGCTGGGCTGTAACAATATAACCTTTGTAAAGCTAATATCTGGACTTGTTGACTTCAATTTGATATTAATCAGTCCTTGACTTTCTGCTTCGCATCTATTCTAAAGTTAATTGCATGTCAAGCAGTCAGATGTGTGTGTTTTTGGAGTGGGTGGGGGACGTAATTGTTTCCAAGTCAGTCACTTCCATCCTACCTCCTCTGTGACAGACGCTGACTTGTGTTCCTTGTTTGCCTTCAAACTTATTAAATAGAAATAACTTGTTACAATACAAAACAAGAGTGACGGGGCGATAAGGCTCCGTGGTTCGTCCTTGACATTATCTCGCAAAAACATCTCTTCTTCTTGACGGTGTCGCCGCTGCTTAGAATCACACGTCCTGTTTTTTTCCATGATGCGTCACAGATTTGGAAGTAAGTATTTCACAAAAAAAAGCCAACCAAATAAATCTTGGTGGATACCACATCACATTATGCTTAAGTTGCACCAAACACCTGCGACTCTCCGCTGATGGGTGAATAACAAAACTTTCCTCACTACTGGGCAACAGTCACGCATCTGTTCCGGCCGAGGCGCGGCCACAGTGTAGCGGTGCATCTGCCTGTGTTAATCCCAGTCACATCCAGCCTCAGTGTGTGTGTGTGTGTGTGTGTAGCTGTGTGTGTGAGAGATATTCTGTCAGGAGCTTGTTAATGTGCCAGCTGGTTGCTGTCTCCACACCTTCCCAGTATCCGAGGCTGCATGCAAATCAGATTGTCAGCAGAGGCAAAAGATCTCCAGCTACAAATAATGTGCAAGTGTTTCTGAGCATTCAGCGGACGAAGACGTACCTTGAAGGTGAACTGCTCGTTGAAGACGGGGTTGAGGGTCTTCCTGTGGACCTTGGTCTCAAATTTCTTCTTCTTGTCAGGCAGCAGGTACACCTTCACGTATGGGTCAGATGTGCCACCCATGTCCATAGCAGGCAGCTCTGCCGCCTGAATGATCCCCACCATGAGCTGAGAAGAGTAAGAGAAAAGGTAGAACAGTGAGGATGGGTACGTCAGAGAATCCAAATTACTCGAACTTCCACTGTCATCCCACCAAAATCCTGACAGAGAAATGATTGAAGTGATTTGCTTTAAGACACATAGTTCTAAGACCTAAGAAACCTGGATTTTTCACCTTTACTTCATTCTTTAATATCACCGGCAATCATTCTTCATAATGGTGTCCTAAATGTCACTTTTTCTGAGATATTGCTCTAATATAAGAGAGTTATGACGGCAGAATGTGGCAGCGGCTGAAGAGTTCGTAAAGGTCAGGATGTGCCAGACTAGCAATGAGAGGACTGTTTTTCTTCACATAAAGCTGATAATTGATAACCACAATGGGGGGTCTGGGAGGCTGATTGACCTGCCAGTCAGAGCCTCTACTCAAAGGCCTCTCAGGAGGTCCAGCTACTCAGTCAATCAACTTCCTATCAGGCAGCCATCAAGCAGCAATCTGGAGGCTGACCAGGGCACTCAGCCATGGAGCTCTACAGCTGTCAGGAGCTCCATCAGCTCATTGTGTGGAGCTGCTAGTGATGTGGAGGCAAATAAGCATGGGGGGAACAATGACCTCCAGTTGGTAATCAGCATAAGGCAAATAACCCCCAATGTGAAAGAAAATCAATTTTAGGGATGAAAAAAACCCAATACATAGACTCATTGATATGTTTTTTTTTTATGTTTCTGTTTTTAAATAGTATGAAATTGCTCTGAAAGCTAAATTGCTCGGCTGACTTAATGTGAGGGAAGCAAGAGGATCAGAGTTTATGGAAATCAGACAGAAATCCAAGGAAATGAATAAGAAAAAAAGCACAGCCCAACTAGATGTGGGATAGCTTGTAAGTTCATTCTTCACTTTGGAAATAGACATGTAAAGTGGAAGAGCCATTTTAGATACACATGGTTGCAGAGGTTGCATTCATTTGAGGATGAATGAGAAAATGTTCAGTGAGTCACAGTTGGAGCACTTCTACAGCTTGGATCAGTCTGATACTCGCACAAAGTCAATTACTTGTCCAAATAATTTACAACCAGTTCATTGATTAAAAGTTGCCTTTTCAGCAGCTACGACTCCCAACGTGCATTTTGGTAAAAAAACATCCAATGACCGCGTTTAAACTACTAATGGTGGCTGAGAGCTAAAGAGAGAAAACTGAACGTACCATCTACAGCTCAAACCTAAAACTGAAATTACTCAACTCACTTTCAAACTCTGTGTCAGGTTTGACAGACTTAAACATGCGTGGAACCATCTTCTGTTAACAACCGCACTCACAAAGCATGTTAAATTCCAAACAGATCCAACTTACACCTTTAACCGGTTTCTTAGCCATGGTAGCGTAGCAATGGTGCCAGAGACAAGTGAGTATGTAATGCTAGCACCTGTTTGTCATGCCAAAGTGATGGACAGAACAAGTTTTCTCCATGAAAATAATCCATTCATGCCTTACAATGGCTGAGATGTAACTCTACACTGTGCCTCCTTTAGGATGTGCACATCTGTGAAGACTCTGGAGTAGTTCAGCCCACATGTTTGAAGTGACTCTCAAGACTAGTAATGATACAGAAAGTTCCACCCTGCAAGCTCAAAGGATTGCTTTCTTAGGTTTGTTACATATGGATGGAAGTGTGAATTGTCATTGGTACCTTGCAGTTGATTGTTTACACTACATGGACGTTTTGACAAGGTCTTTAAACCAGTGTCGCATAAACCCACAGGATCACAATATAATCCAGGAGATTCCAGCTTTCTGTGTTTAGCCCTATGTAGTAACTTTAAAACAGTTTTGACAACCTGACTCATTCTCCTCTGACCTTTTAGCTCTCTGGCTATGATACCGACACTAACAGCTACTGCAGCTTTAAAAACTGTGTCCGCTTGCCTCCACACATTAATGTGCGACTCGACAAATGAGATTATTTCCGCTGCTTTTACTCTGAGAAATGTTTACATGTCTACAAGTCCAATGAGCTAAACCACTCTGCTCTTGTTTGTACTTAATATGCAGTAGGTGATTTGTTATTTATTTTTTTTTACCAGAGGAGCTGGCTCCCTGCTTCAACACAGACAGGGGGGATGGCAGCTTAACAAGGGGGTGTGGCTCAGTCATTTTGCTACCAAGTGGGGTGGCATCCTGACTCAAATCACCTACTATTACATGCCACATCCTACTATCTCTCTTTATTGATCAGTCATTTGAGTTTAAGTGAGTTTATCTGTGTGTGTGTTACATTTTGCCACACACATCGATAAGACATTGTAGTGCAGGTTTCATTTCTCATGTTCCTCCTGTGTCATTACTGGATGCATCTTTGCACAAGATGTTGGTGAGATTCCAGTAGGTATAGGTTACCATGGGATGGTGTAACGCTGATCAACAGAGTGAACACACACACGGTCACACACATGAACAAACGTCACACAAGACAATGTTGAACACATGATGGGAAGCATGGGCTGTCGTCTATTACCTGTTCACCAGGTTTTGCACAACATTTTTTTCATTGCATTACCAAAAGCACATTGGATCACTCCATATTAACTCTAGCTGCCTGCATCTGATCAGGATTCCTCACTGTGACATGGTAACACACCTCCGAAGGCCTTTAAAAGATGTACAATTATACCAGCCGTCATTTACCTTAACTTAAATGGAACCATGTTGTGCACGGTGGTGCTGTGAAGCGGCATTTGGATTTTAAGTGTGGCAATTTATCCTTGCATGCTGCCCTCCTGATTTCCAGCCATCCATCAGCGCAGTCAGTGGGAGGCACAGCGTGTCACAGCGTCTTTACTGGGAGAGGCACTGACGCTCGAGAGGAGATAAGAGCAGGACGTGGCTGGAAATGGTGATATGTAGTTTGCTGTTTTAACTAACTGAACCTTTTCTGCTTCTGTGTGACGCTACATGTTCACAATACAGACCATTAAATAAAAAACCATGGCTTAAAATCAAGTCACACAGGCAGCCATTCTGGTTGTGGAGTTATGTGTAAACTATTGCTTTGTGCTCAAATTTTACAGATTGAACTGAATTTTAGATTATCATCACTTGTGGTGAGATGAAGAACATTTTGTTAAAAAAAAAAAAAAAAAATCAATGAGTGTTTTGGAGTTAGATGGTAATCCTTACATCCATAATTTGGCAGCTGCTATCATTTTGTTTAAACAGCATATACAATACATACATGGCACTTTAATATTCTTCTCTGGTCATTTATTTAACCCATTAAAAACCATCTCTGGGTATCAGAGTTACATATTTAGACATGTTTTCTATGACAATAAGCCATTCATCTCTTAAAATGACCTGAATGTACCTCGACTCTGTTGACTCCTTCAGAATGTGGATCTCTATGAAGTCCCCGTCTCTCTCTTCATGCCTCCCTGTCCACTCACTGCCACTCAAGCACACCAGCTCACCTACATCTCTGCTTAAACACCGTGAAGCTGCTCTACGCTACACCAGTTGTAATATTGGAGTAATTACATGTTCACACCAGTAACTGATCCTGAGAAAAAATAAGGATAAAGAACGCCGCACCCTTCAGATTGATAGGGTTGTTCTTTAGGTTTGTTGTGTATGAAATCCTAGAAGTCAAGTTTAAGCAGTGTTGACAGAGCTAACAAATGGTCATTATATTATGGTAAAACGTCTCTGCACTACCTGTCTGTTTTGGAACTGACTTTAAGATGGTTCATAAAGCTCTTAATGATCTTGGTTCTACCTATTTATCAGATTTGCCCTTGTCCTATGAGCCCTCTGGAACCCTCGGGTCTTCTGGTCGCGGCCTTTTAATTCAATCAAAAGTCAAAACACAAACCAACAAAGAGGAAGCCTTCAGGTATTCCAGCCTATGGCTCTGGATCAGCCGTCCAAAGAATCTGAGAGCAGCAGAGTGTGTTGATATTTTTAAATATGGCTTATTAATTTATTATTACTATGTTTTTAATCTGTCTTATATCACTTTACCTTTTTATTATTGTCCTGTTTTGCTTTTATGAATTTCGATTGATCCCGCTTCTGCCGTTTCCTCGTTGAATTTATTTATGACAGCATTCCCTCGGTTCCTCAGTCCCTGTTTTATTGAGTTCCTCATTTGCAACATAATGTTAGTGGGAGGTTGGGCGAGGGGCATTGTCTGATTGGCTTTTTATTCATTTTGTTCAGTAAAGCACTTTGTGTTTCATTACATTTGAAAGAAAAGTGCGACACAAATAAGTCTGATTGATTGATTGATTGATTGATTAAAGCAATTATTATCAATTAAACAATAGGTCGAGCTGTTGCTTCTGCATTTTGTCTGTCAAAATGATGTTTGCCAAAACCTAAACACACATTTACAATAAATAAACCAAACAGCAGAAACCTCACACGGAGAAGCTGCATATATACGACTTAAATGATGAGTCAATAATCCGAATACTTTCTACTCGTTTTTGCATAATTAGGTTTAAAGTCGTAAACATCTCACACCTTTGAGGGTAAAAACAGAAACAACCGTGGCTGTGTGTTTGCACATCTGTGTGGGTTTTTGTGTTTAACTCAGGTCCTGTGACATCGCAGGGCTGCTGGTATTAACCCCCCTTTTATTTGTGTGCTGCTCTCCAGTCCGGTGAGCAGCACGCTGATCAGACTGGGTGCGGGATGGTGATTCAGCCGTTGGCAGCTCATCTTGGAGGGCTTTGTCCCAGCGCACCACGGCTCTGCTGTGGCTCCACACACATATGTACACACACTTCCAAAGACAAAGACTGGACTTCCTGACTCACACTTCTCCTCCTGACTAATATTTACTGCAGAGGCTTTGAGTGTTATTTTTGGGAAATGAACTGTCTGAACTGGGGGGGAATCCTGAAATAAATTATAAAAACAGAATCTGAACGTTTTTAAATTCATCCCTTCTTAATTAAGAGTTGAAAATTCACATATTCTGACTGGACACAAAGCCACACGCCTGCTCTTGACCTGCGAAAAGAGCAATGAATATGGTAATGATGTTGAAAGTAGGAATGACATTATAATTCTCTTCCTGCTGTGCTGAGAGGGCTCTTTGTGGTTCATTTGCTGTGTATTTGCCTGAAGTAGCCGCGTCGCTGCTCCCTGAATGATTTGGATCTTTTACAAAACCTTTCGTCTCATTAGTGTATAAACCCACTGTCATCAACACCAGGGGCAGCAGCCATTTGTGGTGGTTAACAGACAGAAACAAAGCTGGGACTTTTTGCCACGAGGACCTGACATTAATCTGCGAGTCTTTTCCCACTCTGCCTGATCGCCTTGCCTCAGTCCCTGCACACAGACACACTGGTGTTTCCCTCGTCTTCTTGGCAGGGTGGAACGTTTACTGAGTTTTGTGCTATCATGGGACATAAGTCTCTTTTGAAACGCAGGCACTTAATTAGTCAGTAGCGCTTACAGCATATTTTCTAATATTTGAGACAAATCAGTACGAGTGTTGCATGTCTACAAAGCCTACTGGTGACTTTTTGTTTAGCAAAAGGTGTTTGCTTTCTTTGAAAATCAACTCGTTCCCGGAGGCAAGCGAGCCCAGTGAAACAGGTCATGTGGAGTTCATAAACATGGTAATAGCTTTACTCATGATCCAGTGCACACAGGCTACATCCACACTAACAAGTTTTCTTTTTAAAATGCATAACTTCTGCTACCTTACTGCGAGAGTCCACATCATTCTGGAGTTTTAGGACCCCTAAAAAATAGAGTTATGGAAAAGCTGTTGACCCTGTTTTAATTTGAAAACTCTGGGGCTGGACTAAGGATGACGAAGACACCAATGTTCACTGTCTGATTGGTTTTAACTGTCACTGTGTGTTGTTCCTGCTTCATCACGCTCATAGTGTTACGTATTTATTGTTTTCAGAAGAAAAAACATAACATTTGCCGTGATTATTAGTGGTTAATTAAACATAAATAACAATCTACAACTGTTGCAGACGTGCTGTTTTTACATCATTGCAGTTTCTGTAACTGAAGGCAAATTCAGGCTTTGCGTGTCCATGTGAGCAGGCTGACATATGGACAGCGGACACACATGGTCCTGGTCCTACTACAGGAGGTACACGTCAGTGGGCATTTTCACTCATGTTGAATGGGACAGGGATCGAATAGCTGGTTACATATTATGCTGTAGCATCATGTTTATGTGATTCTTCCTGAGGTGTGCTGGGGGGACCATTGATAGAAAACATGTATAAATCAAAGCACCTTCAGAGTTTAACAATGACTATTCCAACTACATTTTATTTCACAACCTTATCGCCACACAGAGGGTCGACATTGGACGATCGTGCAAAAATCCTGCAAATAACAATCAATGTCAACACATTTTCTTAGGACTCCATATGTGCACTGCAATTACAAAATAATCATCTATAAGTTGGTGAAAGATTTTAGGAAAAACAAACAATCATTGAAGCATCGTTATGTTGAGGCGACTAAAACTCTTGTTTATAAAAATAACGGTTTAAAAAATTACATAAATTGTTTGTGGAAAACAACATGTGATTCCTAAAACGTGAGTGAAACATGTTATATGCTCATCTGTCACCCAGACTTGTATTCATAAAGGCCACATGACTTTCTGAATTGGCACTGAACCTCCAGACTAATGAAGTCAGCAGTCAAAGCTAAATTGTCGAGCCTTTTCCGTGGCAGAGCTGTTATTTGTGACCATCCAAATCCCACAATTACGCTCAAGTCATGCAACAACTGGCTGAGTGCAGGAAGATGGCAAAGCATGTGGACGGTGTGCAGGGTTTCAAATTCTCTCATGAGCTTTCCTTGTCATTCTTTACACAGCAGCTTCTGCCACCTCAGATGTGTACAAATGAGAGCAACGCCACAAATGCCTTCAAGGTCTAAAGGTGTGAGCTGTTGCTCCTATTTAAAGGATTTCCGTCTCTCTCTGTGACAGTAGATGAATCCTTTTGGAAAAGCAAACACTTTTGCCTTTTCCGTGTGGTCTGGCAACAAATTGAGTAGTTCATTTCAAGTCTAATCCGGCTTTGCTCTGAACGTGATTTCTAGGGATATTGGGCTGGTTCTCCCAGTTGTGAAATTGCACGGAGGAGGAGATGGGATTGTTTTGCTCGAAAAACAGAATTTCATTTCATCAGAAGGTGAGGCAAACACTGAATGATACCATCTTCATGCTTCAACATAATCTGTAACCGCAAACTATCCCCGGACTAGACGCTTCATGTTCTCCTCTGTAAGAGCAACCGTCTATTCAGTATTAATGGAAATTTCACCTGTGCCAGTAATCCTTGAGCAGTTCTATGGGGCTTGTGTTGACAGCACAGACCTAAAAGCTCAGTCTAAATAAAAAACATTTCCTGAAGGCCACCGGGCCTCTGGACAGCGACTGTCACTGAGCTGAAAGTGGGTCAGATGAGCGGCTGCCTCCCTGAGTTTTTCGGTCTGTCTGCTGTGAGCTTCTTTAACTTCAGAGGCAGCGAGCTGAGCCCGGCTTCTCTCTGGTCACTGTCACAAGATGTGAAAACTGTCATCCATTCATTACACTTTAGCTCCACTGTGGAGCTTATTACCTGTGTAATCAGGAACCTCATAGAGACCTGTCACCACCTCCCACTACATGACAGATCAACTCTGTGAGATGTAATATTGTCCAGATAATATCCGTTTTTATGAAATGACTTCTTCCCCGAAAGAAGTATTGGTCTGCTTCACTGAACACTAATGGTGTCTGCACCTTGTAATTTTATTAGCTCCACTATCGAATCTGTAATCTGTGAACTGATGAATATTTCACAGGTTAAACATGAACAGCTTTTGATTACTGACCAGTAAAAGCGACACGGGGTGTGAGAGAGCATGTTTGTGTTTAAAGTTTTCTCATGCACATGAGGGAGATGCACCTATGGCAGGCTGTACAGGAGCAGCGAGTGTTGGTGTCTAATCTAAGCTGTCAGTTGTGTTTATAGTGGGGAGTTAGCGAGCCCAGTGAGGGACAGTGTGTTCATGCACCGCGTCTATTATCTGTCACACAACATCTGGCGCCAGGAAGTTGATGTGGTTCCTCATTCTGCTTTTTAAAACTCAGTCGCTGGAAAAAAATAAAGCAGATGGATATCTGCAGGGGCTGTATTCAATCAAGTAGAAAGAAAGAAACAAATACACAGACAAACTAAATCCCAATAGTGTACTGTATCTTTTACAAGGCTCAGTGGCAAATGCACAAACTCGACCACCATGATATATCCCTGTGAGATTGCTCTCAAGCTTCAACAACCAAACTGTGCTTACAGCGGCGGTGATGCAACAAAACCAGTATGTTGGGCAAAACCTGGGTCGGGTCCTGTTTAATCTCTGGAGAGATGGACCTCAGAGGTGGGCTGTGGCCATACTTACGGGGGGGAGGAGGACCTTTTTGCAACAACGACACACACTGAGAGAGATTTGGAGCACTGATCCTTACCGTATTCTCTGTGAAATTGTAATCCAGGGAGTATTGTAATTTGCCCAGTTTCTGGTCCTCCTTGGGCTCGGCCTCTTTCTCCGTTTCAGTCAGCCCTGTCTCCGCATCCTCCTCATCCTTCAAGGCCTGAAGGAGACACCCACCAAGAGTCAGTGTCGCCTGTTTGTCGCTGGTGCCAGCAACCAGCCAGCCGTTCCCCGCCCAGGTCCTGCCAGCGGACCTACTCCTGTAAAAGCTCCCACTTGTTTTACGGTGTAAAAGGGGGGAAAACGGGGGGAAGCAAGCACTAAAACACCATAGCAGTTAACACCAGGACATGCTCTGTGATGCACTAAAGCCCCGGGCCTGGTCCCCTGATGGTGCTTTTCTATCAATCTCGGGGTGTTTCTGTCTAAAGGGAGGAAAGATCAAATGATGGCGCCAGAAATGAGAGCAATGGGCAGGCATTAAGAGGAAGAAGTAGGGGGAAGCTAGAGAGACACAGAGAGAGAGAGAGAGAGAGAGAGAGAGAGAGAGAGAGATGTATCCGGAAAAGATCACAGAAAGACAATTCCCTTGATGTTATTTCAGGCAGATCGAATCTCTGGCAAAAACACATATCAACTGGGAAGTGTCTGAGGTGGCAGAGGGTGAGAAGTGAAGTTGCCTTTTCGCTAGCCTGGCACTGAGGTGAGGGTAGCAGGTGGTGGCACTGGTGGGGAAGGGAGGAGAGGTGGGGGAGGTGAAGGGCTTTTGTTATAAGAACAACATGCGATTGAAGAGGCAAAAGGCTAGTTCTCAAGGTCATTCATTCAGCATCAAAAGTTGCCTTCCAAGAAGTCTCTTTCGTTAGGCATGCAGAGCATTCTCTGTCGTACAAAAACGGTGCTCTTGTGTGATTTCCCCCATTCTCAGGTCTGCTTTACACCCTCAGACATTCAGTCACATTGTCATCATAACCCTAAAGCTTTAATGTTATCCCCCTACGCCGATGGTAGCTAGAAGCATCATGCCAGCGGTGGGTGGGGAGGTGTTGGTACAAGGGGTCGTAATGTACATCGGGGCCCGCTCCTATTAGTTTGTCAAGTTGCTCATGTGAAAGCAAAAGGCTGAACAACACTGACTGGTTTCAAATTTGCCACTTGGTCTCCGCCTTTTGTGAGCAATTTGGGTTTTTTTCTTTTTGAGATACGAGGAATGAAAAGTGGAGCAGGTAAAATGATTGAGGAAATAAAAATCTCATGAGCTATCAAAAGTGTATTTTTTTTAACGACTTTAGGAGGTTAATCCAACTTGTATGCAGCTGCGCTCCAGGAAAGGTATGATCGGTTTCACCTGGGTTGACGCGGGCGAATGCAAATGCTACTGTACGTCAAAAGCTTCCTTTTAATCAGTAGCTTCAAAAGAGCATTTACTTGAAGAGCCTCTCAATCATTCCACGTTCGCTTGCCACCACTCGTTTGAAATGTAAATTAAAGATTCAAAAGGCAGGAGACTTTAGCTTGGCACGGAAATCAGCGTGGTTCAACCTCGTCAATGCGCACCCAGTGTTTCTTTCATACATATATATGTGCATATGCAGGTTGTACACACATATATACAGTAGATATACATGTACTGTATGCATAGTTACATATATTTGGTTCTATGGGAGTAGTAGTTGTTGTCAAGAGGCTATAAAAAAAACGTCAGAGCAGCAGGCTTAAGAAGATCCAACAGCAATTAGGAACCTACCGCCAGTGACCATCCCGAACAGTCATCAGACACAACACAGATAAGGAGGACATAGAAGGAAGAAACACAAATTAAAACAACCACACACAGGAGTTAACACACCAGAGTCTGGGCACACCAGGAGAAATGACCGCTCGCCTCGGAAGTGGCAGATTCACCGATCTCACAGATTAGTTATTAGGGTGACCAATAACCGATGTCTTTTATTTTGATTAATGGCTATTTGAGAATAACACCTGGATAGCACAAAGGCAGTATTGAGAAAATTAATGAAAATTCATGTCCGCTAACAAGCTGAGTGATGTGCTGCACCGCAGGTGCTTGAATGACCTACTGGTTACTAAAGCGTTGTGCTGTTCAATGTTATATAAGAAAATAAAAGACTCTTTAACATTTAAGTCATAATTATTGCTTTCTTCTACAATAACTAAGTCAAATGAGGTATGAAAACACTGTCACTGGTTTCTGTCTGCGATTTTGATCCACCTCTGGTAACAGAGGCGTCGCTGCAAATTAAACACACTTTGTACATGATTCTACTGAGGACGGCAGTATAATGATGCTCTGCTGGGGCAATTAGTGTGCCAACTCCATTTCAAGTGCCAGTGTGTCATAGATTGCCCTTCTGTGCTGTGGAACGGCTTTATTTCAGTTCCTCCCCGTTTGTTTATTTGGCTTGGTGATGTCATTTCTCTGGGTGGATACCACTTCATTACACAGCAACCGTTACTCACACTCTTCAACGAGTGAGCAGGTCCTCATATGACAAAAAGAAACACTCACAGGAACGATTAGCAGGAGAAAAAAAGAGAGATTCAAACACTCTCTCTTAAATCTGAAGTCATCTAAATGACTTCCATTAACTCTCCTGTAATTAAACTGAATGGTTTTTTAAAAAAATTAAACGGTGAAATATCAAATAATACTGTATGTATCTCTTTGGCAGCAGTAAATACATCATACATACAAAATACATACAGTGCAGTAGCAGCCATTGCATCGAAAATTAGAACATTTTATAAGCCCTAAAATTATAAAAAGAAAAAGTATGTGGAACATAGCAAGAAACATAAAAACACTAAACATTATTGGATATGTTTAAGACATATTTCTGGACAAATTATTTCAGCTTCTTGCAAATTCTCATGCAGACAGGATAAATTAAATGTCTTGGCAATAAATGCGTTAATAAACTAGCATGCAGGGAGAGTTACTTTATCTGAAATTCAAACAACAATAGTCTTTACCTCGGTTTTGGCTCCATCTTTGACGTCCTTCATGTTAATGGCATTTTTGCCCTTGTCTTTGCCCTTCTTTTTGTTTTTCTTCTTGAATATCCACTTTTTGCAGATGCAGAAGCAGCAAGCTAACACCAGGATGATAGCCACGAAGGCGATCGAGACAATGGCCCATGATGGCACTGTGGAAAAAAACAACAAACGGGAAAGCATTAGACGTCTAGCGGAGATGAAACTGCACCTCACAGGGAAGAAAACAACATTTTAGTGAAGTGGACCGAGGCAATGCTGCAGCCAAAGTTTCCAAAAAGTAGTGATTATATCAACTGACAGGTGAGATAAAAGCAGGAAGGTGAGTTAGCACAACTGATCTGCAGTCACCTACACCTGACCCGGGTCCATCAGCGAGTGGCAGACTCCTAACGATCGGCCTCGACTCGCAGGACAAGACCCGACCGAACAGCCTCAGCCAATTTAGTGGAAGTAACAGATGTTGGCATTTTCCACTTGCCATTTAAACAAAAGATTCTCAGACGGCTGACACTTTCACGGCAATCACCGGCAACACAGAAGTTGCTGGCAGTGAAAGCTGTGGTAATTTTGCAGGGTGAGCTTGAGAGGCATTAACGGAGGTACGACCATGACAATCCGATGATGCAGTCAGACCAGACGGGTTCACCGGGGCTTTGCACCCCTTCGTTCACACGCTCTCAGCTTCCATATTCCCTTTAGAAATAGTATGAAATTAATCTTTTGTGTTGGGATTTTAGGCTTTGAAGTTTTCCACAGATAGGCTGCAGTTTTAGACAAAAACTTTCCTCAAAGGCAGAGCTACTGAGGCAAGTCTCAGTGGGTAAATTAAAGCTGAACAAAGAGTTCAGTCAAGACAAAAAGTTGGAGAACAATAGAGGGAGGGTCCAGGTTCACTTTAAATCAAGCAGACTTTCACTTTAAAGTTTTTTACCTGTGAAATTGGAAGAAAATACAGGCAATACTATCATTGCGTCATTACATTCCCCTGACAAAACAAAGAGAACTAATTAAACATAGTATTATTAATTTTACTAATAGCATCCCACTGTGAAAATAGTGTCATTCATAGCCCCTAACTGAGAGTGTTGCCCTAAATTTTTGTTATGGTGTCACTCCAAATGATCATATTTTACTGTTCACAGTGTTGGAAGGTAACACAGTACATTTAATCAAGCACTGTACTTAAGGACAAGGTTGAGGTACTTGTACTTTACTGAGTATTTCCATGTTCTGCTGCTTTATACGTCCACTCCACTACAAGTCAGACGGACGTATTGTACTTTCTACTGCACTACATTTATCTGACAGCTTTAGTTGCATTGAAGATGAAGGTTTTACTCAATGGATACTAAGACAAGTTTTAAAACACATTGTTAAAAATTAAACCAGTGGTTTTCAGCCTTTTTGGCTTCTGAGGTCTTACAAAAAGCAGTGTGTAGAGTGGGTCACATTTCAGATGTCTGAGTTGTTAAAAGCGCCACCAAACTGTGATGCTTTCCTCTAAACATGGTTTCATTTCAGTAAATGTGAAAATGACATAATATCTCACCAGAAATCAAAGTCCAAAAGTTGTATCTGCCAGAGGGACCAAACCAGTACTTTCACTTTAATACTTTACATTTTTACGTTACTGCATTGCTACATTTCCGTTGATCTGAATACTTTTTTCAACAGTGGCTACTCAAGACATGCTTTGAAAGTGTTTTTCCTGGTGCACCATACAGAATTCGTCTTCGCTCCTGATGTTTAAAAAAGTCTTTAAGGACACTGAAGGCACTTTCAAAATCACAACACTGCCAAATGACTGCCTGGGTTTTGGAGAGGGCACCTTGAATTCATTTTGCTGGAAATTAGGTGGTTACCTCAAGTGTAAGATAATTTATGGAAGTCACAACGTAAGCCCGTGACAGAACAGGGAAAAATGTTTCTCTCTGCATCATTAACTTAATTAACTTGAATAGAAGAGATTTGTGTTCACTTTTCCTCTTTTCAGCCTACAAACTGTAGAAAACAAGAACATGACATTTATTTTTTAGAAGCACTGTACCTAATTGCATATTTTATTGGGGGAAGCACATTTGGACTCCGAGGGTAAATATTTTTTAGGAAACCAATTAATTTTACTTTAACAGACAGATAATAATTTTACACTTAATACTAATTTAAAACTGCAGAAGTCTTGACCAAAATAAAATTCTATCTTTGGTAATTAAAAATTGTGTTTCACAGGTTTCCTGCAGGGTTCAACGAGTCAAATTTAAGTAGCACACGTGTTATTTTAGTGCCAACTTTATATTTATATCAGGAAAAATATTATAGATATCAGCGAAAATCAGGATGGATGAAATGGCTTTGGATCCTTTCCCAGGTGCACGAATATATTGACATTTATGTCACACTTTTGAGTATTTCTCAGCAGTCGTCCCTCATAAAATTACTAATTAGTCCTTAAATTTAATGAGGATTCTAATAAGAAACAGAAAAAACTAAAATTGTCTGATTATTCTAATGTTATTATATGATCTGTACACAGGTCAGAGGTTTGGAGAAATAGATTTTCCACACACTTTGAGTTTAAAAAGAAGAAGAAAAAAAGCACATTTTATGACAAATGCTATTGGCCATGAAAAACATCCAGTGCCTTTATAAATATTACAGCTTTGAATGCCTTGTCTGTCCCTGCACACTTATGATAGAAAACACTTACAAGATAACAAATCACAAAATGCAACTTCATGAGAATGACACGTGAGTTGTTTTTCCCTCGACCGTATGTTGGATGGACCTGACTACAGAAATTGGACAAGCAGCAGTCAACTCTGTCACCTTCACAGAGTCACACACTCGGCTCAACAACACAGTGACAGGCAGCTGCAAACACAGTGGCACCGATCTCAACTATAATCAGCCGTCAGCCAGCGGTGGCCGGCGCAGACACACGGGGATACGCTGCACCGACACAACAGCGGAAGGAGAAGTGGGTTGTTTTAAGTACCGGAGAGACACCGTAAAGTCCAGATGGGCTGAAAAATAATGAGGGACCTCACAACAGACTTCTCCCTTCAGCAGTCATAATCGCTGCTCCTTCATTCCACACGGCAGACACCAAACACCTGGCAGCCCACCCCTCATTTTAATGGAGAGGAATAGCAGACGAGTGAGCCCATTTTGGGAGCACATTTTCAGTTTAGTCATTTTTCTGAGACAGCTAACCGTGATCAGGTCGCTGCTTTCCTCTGCAGACTTTGACGAGCTCTCTTGCAAATCCCAACGCACTTTATTCTGGTACCAGCAGGCAAAACATCCAAAACAAGACTACACGTGATACAAACCACACAAACTATATTACACTATTACTATTACACCCTTCACTGGCTGTCTGTGCATTTAAGAATTGATCTAAAGATTCTACTGCTTATTTTTAAAGCCCTGAATGGTCAGACTCCCGTCTATATCTGCGATCTGCTCACTCCCTATAAGCCTGACCGCTGCCTGAGATCCTCTGGCAGGGCCTTGCTAATGGTTCCTTGACTTGACACTAAAGGTGACCGAGCCGCTGCTGTCTGGGCTCTTTTCGAAAGGTTTGTTTATTATACCTAGTTTTAAATACCACAAGACAAACCTGCTATGGCTTATTGTAGGAATTAACCCAGTGGTGCTCTTGATCCACTAAACCAACAGAAAACATAAACCAGGTCAAGCTGCAGCCCTCTGAAGACTTTATCTGGAAAAACTCCAGAAAGACCCATCAAAACAGAAAAGTATATTACAGTCTATCACTCTGGGGTTTTTGCTCACCAGCGTTCAGCTGTGGTTCCTTTGCTGAGGTCCGAGGGGAGAGAGAGAGAGCGAGAGAGAGGTAGGAAAAAAATCGATTCTCTGTTGACAAAATCAATAAGCACTCTCCTCTAAGGAAAAACAGTGAGTGATGCTCTAAAATAACTTTAGGATCTACAGCTTTGGCCTTGCCTCGGAGCGCTGCGGTAATGGAGGTGACACTGGATAGCTCTCGTTTACAATGAGCCGTCTGAAATCAGGAGCGTTTCCTTTAGATGGTTCCTTTTGCTGGGTTATATGCACAAGAAAAGACTGTATGTCTAATGGCAAGATGTAAAATCTTGTTTCATTTTCAACATCCATTACTGGTGCTACCTTTTAGTTGGATACCATCTATAAAAGACTTGCAGTTGAAACCAGAAGTTTCCATACACTGTATAAATAGACACATAACCTTTTTTTTCCTCACTGGCTGACATTAAATCAGACTAAATTTTTCCTGTTTTAGGTCAGTTAGGATTACCAAAATTATTTCTATTTGATGAGTGCCAGAATAATGAGAGAGATAGTTTTCTTTTTTTTTGAGATTTTTTAATGACTTTCTTCAAAGTCAGAAGTTCACATCCATCTCCTCAGTATTTGGTAGCGTTGCCTTTAAACTGTCTGACTTGGGTCAAATGTTTTGGGTTTCCTTCCACAAGCTTCTCACAATAGTTTGCTGGAGTTTTGGCCCATTCCTCCTACAGAACTGGTGGAACTGAGTCGGGTTTGTAATCCGCCTTGCTCACACGCCTTTTCAGCTCTGACCACTAATTTTCTACAGGATTGAGATCAGGGCTTTGTGATGACCACCCCAAAACACTGACTTTGTTGTCCTGAAGCCTCTTTGTAACTAATCTGGTGGTATGTTTAGGGTCATTGTCTATTTGGAAGACCCATTTGTGCCCAAACTTCAACTTCCTGGCTGATGTCTTGAGATGTTGCTTCAGTATTTCCACGTTTCTTCCTCGTGACGCCATCTATTTTGTGAAGTGCACCAGTCCATCCTGCAGCAAAATGATGCTGCCACCCCCATGCTTCACAGTTGGGATGGTGTTCTCAGACTTCCAAGCTTCCTCCTTTCTTCCTCCAAATGTAACGATGGTCATTATGGCCAAACGGGTCCATTTTAGATTCATTAGACCAAAGGACATGTGTCAAAAATGAAGCTCTTTGTCCCTGTGTGCATTTGCAAACTGTAATCAGGCTTTTTTATGTTGCTTTTGGAGTAATGTCTTCTTCCTCTCTGAGCAGCCTTTCAGCCCATGTCGGTACAGGACTCGTTTAACTGTGGATGATGACACTCTTTTACCAGCTTCAGCAGCATCTTCAC